GGAAAAAAGTACCCTGAACAACTGAATCGACAGCAGAGCTCAGCAAAGAATTTGGGAATTCTGGCCTTAATCCACATACTCCATCCTGTAGACAGACCTATCTTCCCTAATACATTAGAGTATGAATAAAAATTGGCTGTCATCTTATGTAAAAATCATACTTCTTCCAACCAAGGATAACAAGAGCATTCTGCCCCTCAGCCTATATTGTAAATAGGGTTTGGGAGATTGGAAATTGTTGGGATCTACTCATCAGAAGTAAAAATTTATATCGGGGTTGGGCAATTATTTTGGCTGGAGGGACAGATTTGGTGAGCTGTCAAGGGCTACAAGGGTAGCCCTGCCCCTTGACAGGTGCCCCGCCCCCCTGGTGACAATCTTTGGACTGGAAGTCCCACCTCTTAGCCCCTAACCTCTGCCACCAGAAGTCCCTCCCCATGCCCCCAGAAGTACTCCTTTTGGGTGGGAGGGTTGCCATCTGAACCAGGAAAAAAAAATTATACACTAAAAGTCAAACATCTACTATAACATATTTTAATTTTATTACAAAAAATATTTTTGTCATGATTTGTGTTTGCATAGTGTATATAGAGAGGTGGCTGCATAATAGGTCAAAATAAAGTCTTACTCTGGTATATTGTTTGTGGGGTGTGGTTGGTGTCGGTCTGGGGGTGTGTGGCTTGTGAGGTGTTGTGGCTGTGTGTGAGGGGGTATAGGGTATGTATATGTGGGGAGGTTGTGGGGGGCAGAGTGTGGGTGTGTGGAGTTTGTGGGCTGTGAGGGAGGATGGGGGGTTGTTGTGCACAGTCCCTGCCACTAGTGATAGCAGCAACAGGTGGGGGCCCTTGGGGCACTCGTGGCACTACTGCCTGGCAGCACACGGCTCCAACCAACACTGCACATGGCGGCAAGGCGTGCAGCCAGGCCAGCCCACCTCTATTGTGGGGCTCCCCATAGCGCATGTGCAGCTCCTGGCACTCGCGCACCAGCAGGGGGAAGCCCAGCATGATAGAGCCAGCTAACACTGGAGAAGCGGGGGGCGAGGCTCCCCTCCACTTGCAGTGGAGTCTTCACAGTGGCATATGGTGGGCCAGCCTGGATGTGCTGCTTACTGCCATGTGCAGTAGGGTGGTGTGAAGCTTCGGGTGCTGATTCAATTTGGAGGAGATTCAGCCCGATTCGGTGGCCAAATCTCCAAATCTGAATCGAATGAGGGACCAGTAAAAAGATCCAGATTGATTTGAAGCTCTCCAGATCTTCAGAAAAAGTTTGGAGAGCTTCAGTGATTCGGGCAGTGCCCACCCACTGCAGCAGGGAGCTGGAGCTGGACTTGGAGCTGGTAAGTAGGGGGCGGGCGAGGAGGGGC